AAAGTGGTTACTTTTGTTACTTTTACGGATGCTGCTATTGCTAGTTTTAAGCTAGATTTTGGAAACCATGTATTCCAGTTACCAAATAAGGTGTTTTCCAAAGAGTTGGGTAAATTTTTTATTTAAGAAAGATCTTATTCGAGCCAACGAAAGTTGAAAAACATGTTTTTACTTACACACAACTTCCATTCGGGACTCGCTCTGTGCCGAAGAGAAAGATGGCGCTTCAGCCGACACCTCGCATCGGTAAAGTCCGCTCGATTTCCAACTGACAGGATGAAGGACCACTTTCCTGCTGTCTGATTTGGACATCTGAAAGCGCAAAAACGAATAAAATAAACACCGCCTTAACACCATCCATCATCGTAAAGAAAAAAGCAGAAATAAAATTCAATGGCACATACACATTCCGAATTATTTCTTCCATTATTTGTCGGATTTTCGTGTAAAAAAGACGGATTATCTCGTTCATTAATCTTATCACCGGGGGCGGCGACGAATTAATTAATGCGAATGCTTAACAAAAACAACACAAAACTTGCACACAAAAGAATCACTAATTCGACATAAAAGGTGCTTTATTAAAAAAAAATATGTACAGCTTTTTCTTTTACGAAAAGTTAGGTTTTTGGTATAATAATAGCGCTCATTATGTACGTTAAATGAGCAGAACATTCCGATGGAGCCAAATAAAGTGTGTAAGCTTCAGGCTTATAATAAATAATTAATAGCGAGACTCATGCAGACCATTGTCTCGGCTTAATGGATCGTGGAAACAAAGACCAGGGCTAATATGGAAAGTGGCCTCCTGCAAATAATGTCTTCTCTTGTCCTCTAGCACCGAAAACATGCTCGTGTTACCGCTCCGGTTTACTTTTAATGTCGACGGCAAATTTCATCAAGGTGTATCACCAACAAATAGGTCACAAACGACAAGCATTACAAGTTTGTTGAAAGGAAACTTCAAATCAACTTTCAAAGCTTTGTAAATGAAAGAATTTGAATTTCAGTTATCGATACGACACAAGAAGCATTTTGTTTCGACGAGTAACGAGAAAACTTGTATAATTACAAGTATGACAAAATAACAAGAATAAAGCGAATTGCTAAAAATTGTACGATGTAATTGTAATTCTATAGAAGAATACAATTACCGTTACCGTTACAGTTACAGTTACAGTTACAGTTACAGTTACAGTTACAGTTACAGTTACAGTTACAGTTACAGTTACAGTTACAGTTACAGTTACAGTTAC